TGTTTGTTGGGTGTGTTTGTGTGTTGGTCGGGTTTGTGTTTGTTGGGTGTGTTTGTGTGTTGGTTGGGTTTGTGTTTGTTGGGTGTGTTTGTGTGTTGGTTGGGTTTTGTGTTTGTTGGGTGTGTTTGTGTGTTTGGTCGGGTTTGTGTGTTGGTTGGATGGGTTTTGTGTGTTGGTCGGGTTTGTGTTTCTTGGTGTGTTTGTGTGTGTTGTTGGTTGGGTTTTGTGTTTGTTGGGTGTGTTTGTGTGTTGGTTGGGTTTTGTGTTTGGGTGTGTTTGTGTGTTTGGTCGGGTTTTGTTGTGTTGGTTGGATGGGTTTTGTGTGTTGGTCGGGTTTGTGTTTGTTGGGTGTGTTTGTGTGTGTTGGTTGGGTTTGTGTTTGTTGGGTGTGTTTGTGTGTGTCGGGTTTGTGTGTGTGTTGGTTGGGTGTGTTTGTGTTGGTCGGGTTTTGTGTTGTTGGGTGTGTTTGTGTGTTGGTCGGGTTTTGTGTGTTGGTTGGGTGTGTTTGTGTGTTGGTCAGGTTTTGTGTGTGTTGGTTGGATGGGTTTGTGTGTTGGTCGGTTTTGTGTTTGTTGGGTGTGTGTTTGTGTGTTGGTCGGGTTTTGTGTTTGTTGGGTGTGTTTGTGTGTGTTGGTTGGGTTTTGTGTTTGTTGGGTGTGTTTGTGTGTTGGTTGGGTTTTGTGTTTGTTGGGTGTGTTTGTGTGTTGGTCGGGTTTTGTGTGTTGGTTGGATGGGTTTGTGTGTGTGTTGGTCGGGTTTTGTGTTTGTTGGGTGTGTTTGTGTGTTGGTTGGGTTTGTGTGTTGGTCGGGTTTGTGTTTGTTGGGTGTGTTTGTGTGTTGGTTGGGTTTTGTGTGTTGGTCGGGTTTGTGTGTTGGTTGGGTGTGTTTGTGTGTTGGTCAGGTTTTGTGTTTGTTGGGTGTGTTTGTGTGTTGGTCGGGTTTTGTGTTGGTTGGGTGTGTTTGTGTGTTGGTCGGGTTTTGTGTTTTTGTTGGTGTGTTTGTGTGTGTTGGTCGGGTTTGTGTTTGTTGGGTGTGTTTTTGTGTTGGTTGGGTTTGTGTTTGTTGGGTGTGTTTGTGTGTTGGTTGGGTTTGTGTTTGTTGGTGTGTTTGTGTGTTGGTCGGGTTTTGTGTTTGGTTGGATGGGTTTTGTGTGTTGGTCAGGTTTTGTGTTTGTTGGTGTGTTTGTGTGTGTTGGTCGGGTTTTGTGTTTGTTGGGTGTGTTTTGTGTGTTGGTTGGGTTTTGTGTTTGTTGGGTGTGTTTTGTGTGTTGGTTGGGTTTTGTGTTTGTTGGGTGTGTTTGTGTGTTGGTGGGTTTTTGTGTGTTTGTTGGATTGGGTTTTGTGTGTTTGGTCGGTTTGTGTTTGTTGGGTGTGTTTTGTGTTGGTTGGGTTTTGTGTGTTGGTCAGGTTTTTGTGTTTGTTGGGTGTGTTTGTGTGTTGGTTGGGTTTTTGTGTTTGTTGGGTGTGTTTGTGTGTTGGTCGGTTTTTTGTGTTTTGTTGGTGTGTTTGTGTGTTGGTTGGGTTTTGTGTTTGTTGGGTGTGTTTGTTGTTTGGTTGGGTTTGTGTGTTGGGTGTGTTTGTGTGTTGGTTGGGTTTTGTGTTTGTTGGGTGTGTTTGTGTGTTGGTCGGGTTTGTGTGTTTGTTGGGTGTGTTTGTGTGTTGGTTCGGTTTTTGTGTTTGTTGGTGTGTTTGTGTGTTGGTGGGTTTGTGTGTTGGTTGGATGGGTTTTTGTGTGTTGGTGGGGTTTTGTGTTTTGTTGGGTGTGTTTGTGTGTTGGTTGTGTTTGTGTGTTTGTTGGGTGTGTTTGTGTGTTGGTTGGGTTTGTGTGTGTTTTGTTGGTGTGTTTGTGTGTTGAGTGGGTTTTTGTGTTTGGTTGGGTGTGTTTGTGTGTTGGTTGTGTTTTGTGTGTTTTGTTGGGTGTGTTTGTGTGTTGGTTGGGTTTGTGTGTTTGTTGGGTGTGTTTTGTGTGTTGGTCGGTTTTGTGTTTGTTGGGTGTGTTTTGTGTGTGTTGGTCGGGTTTGTGTGTTGGTTGGGTGTGTTTGTGTGTTGGTCGGGTTTGTGTGTTGGTTGGATGGGTTTTGTGTGTTGGTCGGGTTTGTGTTTTGTTGGGTGTGTTTGTGTGTTGGTTGTGTTTGTGTGTTTGTTGGGTGTGTTGTGTGTTGGTTGGGTTTGTGTGTTTGTTGGGTGTGTTTGTGTGTTGTGGGTTTTGTTGTGTGTTGGTTGGGTGTGTTTGTGTGTTGGTTGTGTTTGTGTGTTTGTTGGGTGTGTTTTGTGTGTTGGTTGGGTTTTTGTGTTGGTTAGGTGTTTGTGTGTTGGTTGTGTTTGTGTGTTTTGTTGGGTGTGTTTGTGTGTTGGTCGGGTTTTGTGTGTTGTGGTGGGTTTTGTGTGTTGGTTGGGTGTGTTTGTGTGTTGGTCGGGTTTGTGTGTTGGTTGGGTGGGTTTTGTGTGTTTGGTGGGTTTGTGTTTTGTTGGGTGTGTTTGTGTGTTGGTTGGGTTTTGTGTTTGTTGGGTGTGTTTGTGTGTTGGTTGGGTTTTGTGTGTTGGTTGGGTGTGTTTTGTGTGTTGGTCAGGTTTTGTGTGTTGGTTGGTGTGTTTGTATTAGTGCGTTTGTGTTGTTGGGTGTGTTTGTGTGTTGGTTGGGTTTTGTGTGTTTGTTGGGTGTGTTTGTGTGTTGGTGGGGTTTTGTGTGTTGGTTGTGTGTTTTGTGTGTTGGTCGGGTTTTGTGTTTGTTGGTGTGTTTGTGTGTTGGTTGGTTTTGTGTTGTTGGGTGTGTTTGTGTGTTTGTTGGGTTTGTGTTTGTTGGTGTGTTTGTGTGTTGGTGGTTTTGTGTTTGTTGGGTGTGTTTGTGTTGGTTGTTTTGTGTGTTTGTTGGTGTTTGTGTGTTGGTTGGGTTTTTGTGTTTGTTGGGTGTGTTTGTGTGTTGGTTGGGTTTGTGTGTTTGTTGGGTGTGTTTGTGTTTGGTGGTTTGTTTTGTTGGTGTGTTTGTTTGGTGGGTTTGTGTTTGTTGGGTGTGTTGTGTGTTGGTTTGGTTTGTGTTTGTTGGTGTGTTTGTGTGTTGGTCGGGTTTTGTGTGTTGGTGGGTTTTGTGTGTTGGTTGGTTTGGGTTTTTGTGTGTTGGTGGGTTTGTGTGTTGGTCGGGTTTGTGTGTTGGTTGGGTGTGTTTGTGTGTGGTTGGTCGGGGTTTGTGTGTTGGTGGTTTTGTGTTTGTTGGGTGTGTTTGTGTGTTGGTGGTTTGTGTGTTGGTGGGTTTTGTGTGTTGGTTGGTTGGGTTTGTGTGTTGGTCAGGTTTTGTGTGTTGGTCGGGTTTTTGTGTTGGTTAGGTTGTTTGTGTGTTGGTTGGGTTTTGTGTTTGTTGGGTGTGTTTGTGTGTTGGTTGGGTTTTGTGTTTGTTGGGTGTGTTTGTGTGTTGGTCGGGTTTGTGTGTTGGTCGGGTTTTGTGTGTTGGTTGGTCAGGGTTTTGTGTGTTGTTCGGGTTTTGTTGTGGTGATTTTGGTGTGTTGGTTGGTGGGTTTTGTGTGTTGGTTGGGTTTGTGTGTTGGTCAGGTTTGTGTTGGTTGGGTTTTGTGTGTTGGTTGGGTGTGTTTGTGTGTTGGTCGGGTTTGTGTTTGTTGGGTGTGTTTGTGTGTTGGTTGGGTTTTGTGTTTGTTGGGTGTGTTTGTTGTTGGTTGGGTTTGTGTTTTGTTGGGTGTGTTTGTGTGTGTTGGTTGGGTTTTGTGTTTGTTGGGTGTGTTTGTGTGTTGGTTGGGTTTTGTGTTTGTTGGGTGTGTTTGTGTTGGTCAGGTTTGTGTTTGTTGGGTGTGTTTGTGTGTTGGTTGGGTTTTGTGTGTTGGTTGGGTGTGTTTGTGTGGTGGGTTTTGTGTGTTGGTTGTGTTTGTGTTTGTTGGGTGTGTTTGTGTGTGTTGTTTGGTTTGTGTGTTTGTTGGGTGTGTGTTTGTGTGTTGGTTGGGTTTTGTGTTTTGTTGGGTGTGTTTGTGTGTTGGTCGGGTTTTGTGTTTTTTGGGTGTGTTTGTGTGTTGGTTGGGTTTGTGTTTGTTGGGTGTGTTTGTGTGTTGGTTGGGTTTGTGTTGGTTGGGTGTGTTTGTGTGTTGGTTGGGTTTGTGTGTTAGTTGGGTTTTGTGTTTTGTTGGGTGTGTTTGTGTGTTGGTTGGGTTTTGTGTGTTGGTTGGGTTTGTGTTTGTTGGGTGTGTTTGTGTGTTTGGTTTGGGTTTGTGTGTTGGTTGGGTTTGTTGTGTTTGTTGGGTGTGTTTGTGTGTTGGTTGGGTTTGTGTGTTGGTTGTGTTTGCTTCACCATAACAACATAACACACACAGAAACAGACAGACAGAGAGAGAGAGTCCTACCAGTGCTAGTATATACCAACTTTAAACACACACTCACTTACACACACACACACACACACACAGAGGTCCCAGCAAATTAAGCCAATGATATGACCCCCTGTGTAAACTGTACCATGACTGTATTCATCCAATCTCAGAGAGCCTTTTGTCAGCTCCATAAACAACAAAATATTCTCTTTTGATAATATTTCTACTGGCATTTTTTGACTGGTTTTCTTTTTGGGGGAAATTGTGCCCGTTTATGAATGCCTTTTTTATTGTTTTCTTATTTCTCTGTATTTTTTTTTGTTCATTTCCTTCTTCTTCTTCAGCTTAATTGCTTTATGAAATAGATTATGTATTTTATATAATTATTTCCTGATATATTTTCATTATTATTCAAGCTCTTAAGTCTTGTTTATTTACTTATTATCATGGAATAAGAATCAAAATCTTACACTCATTTCTTTTTCATTTTTAATAACCAAATTTTCCCTTGTTTTCATCCTCCTACAGTACACATGTTCAGTCACTCTTAAAACCCTGTCCAACGATTACAATAAAGCTTTACTGCTGCTGTAGTTTGATTTTGTAACGACTGATCATAAAATACAGTAACTTTTAAAACCCGGGTAGACAGTAGACAGGCCGAACAGTAACGCACCTCAGAGTAATATTTTTTAATACCTCTTCCATATCGCAGAATAACCCGTCCAGCTTCGACTTGGTGGGGAACTACATGCCAGAGGCGCGCTTCAAAGGCATCACCCTCGGCATCCTTACCACCAGTCTAGTCGTGGGCATCCTCATCCCTAACATTGGTGGGTCTTCTACTGTATACACACACACACACACACACACACACAGTAAGATAGATAGATAGATAGATAATTACTATAAATAAATAGATAGACAACATATAGATATATTCTGTAGATAGATAAATAGATTCTTTAGATAAATAAATATATATACATGATGTAGTTCAAGTTTTGTCCTAAAGTACTTGAATTTTTATCTTTGTATTGGGGTTTTGTTGATATTTGTATAGTATTTATTCTTCCTTGTTGTTTTTCTTCCCCACCAGAGTTTGTGTTGGGTCTACTGGGGTCAACTATGGGGATGCTGATCGCTCTTATTCTTCCCTCGATCCTGTTCATCAAAGTCAACTCCAAGGCTTCGGCTGAGAGACTCTTGGCGCAGGTGGGTCGTTGGCGCTTGTTACCCGTCTGTTTTTATGTGGTGTCACCTGTGTAGCAATGTGACCTTTATACAGTACCATTGTTACCCATGTTGTGTACCACTGTTCTCCATACACCAGTGTTATCCATATACTAATGATCTTTGGATATTAACCGTTAAACCACGGCCGTCATCTGTGGAAGTTAGCTGTAGGGACGGCAGCCATTATCTGTGGAAGTTAGCTGTAGGGACGGCAGCCATCATCTGTGGAAGTTAGCTGTAGGGATGGCAGCCATCATCTGTGGAAGTTAGCTGTAGGGATGGCAGCCATCATCTGTAGAGATTGGCTTCTTGGGGCGGCAGCCATCATCTGTGGAAGTTAGCGCTGTGGGCGGCTGCATCATCTGTGGAAGTTAGCTGTGGGAATGGCAACCATCATCTGTGAAGTTAGCTGTAGGGGCTGGCGTATGTCTGTAGAGATTGTGGCTGTAGGGCCATCATCTGCTGTCATCTGTGGAAGTTAGCTGTAGGGACGGCAGCCATCATCTTTGGAAGTTAGCTGTAGGGATGGCAGCCATCATCTGTGGAAGTTAGCTGTAGGGACGGCAGCCATCATCTGTGGAAGTTAGCTGTAGGGACGGCAGCCATCATCTGTGGAAGTTAGCTGTAGGGACGGCAGCCATCATCTGTGGAAGTTAGCTGTAGGGACGGCAGCCATCATCTGTGCTGCTTACAGTCTATTTTTGTACATAAATGGGGGGAGGAGGTGGAGTAGGGAATCATTAGCCACCAGTTAGAGGTTAATTGTGAACTGAATTAAACTACAAACCAAGCCCCACCTGCTCTTGATATTCTCAGCCACCGGTGCATTAGGAAACTCGTGACCATTTCCATTTCAGTATTTATTACAGTGTAATTTATCCATTTGATAACATTAAAATATGATTATATTAAACATTGAAATATTTTAGGGTTTATTTTCAGTTTTATCTTAGTAATGATACTCTACATGTGAAGGAGGAGGTGAGTCAGGGGTAGAGCAAGAGTGACATGGGGAGATGTAGTAAGAAATGACATTATAGTTAGGAACCTGATGAGAGAGACTGTACAATGTGTAAGGCGACCTTCAGGAAACCGTCACTAATCCTCACAAGTGTGGAAAATGGCCTAAGACAATGATAATACATAAAATAAGACTGTGTTAATAATCTAATAATAAAATAATCAATGGTGTTTGTGTTCTTTCAGACCATCATGCTGGTGGGCATTGTGCTGATAGTAACAGGAACGTACCTTAACCTGGCCCATATATACAAGGTTCAGGCGGAACAGACAGAGGTTGTCATCGCGAACATGATCAAGAATGACTTAGATCCCAACCTGCCTAACATAGAGAGTAAGTAATGATTCATCTCTTATTATGGGGATGTGGGGAGGGGTGTGTAGGTCTTGCTGAAGAGTTATGTTGGTTCTTCATAAATTTATCATAGGACTTACTGCTAAAACTCTCCTGTGTGAATAACAGAGTCCAACCAGGTATATGTATGGGGCAGTGTTGTTGATGAGGAGTTGATCAGTATTTTAGTGGAATTTTATCATAAAGTTTCATATTTATTCATCAGCTACAGAGACAATTCAGGTATACAATGATGAACAGTGTGGTATTTCAATCAAGCATAACTCATAACTGCACCACCAAAGATCACATTAATACAGTGTTTCAATCAAGCATAACTCATAACTGCACCACCAAAGATCACATTAATACAGTGTTTCAATCAAACATAACTCATAACACTGTACTACCAAAGATCACATTAATACAGTGTTTCAATCAAGCATAACTCATAACACTGTACTACCAAAGATCACATTAATACAGTGTTTCAATCAAGCATAACTCATAACACTGTACCACCAAAGATCACATTAATACAGTGTTTCAATCAAGCATAACTCATAACACTGCACCACCAAAGATCACATTAATACAGTGTTTCAATCAAAGCATAACTCATAACAATACCGAATCCACATTATTTGATGTTTTCAATCAACATAACTCATAACACTGCCACCAAAGATCACATTAATACCGGTATTTAATCAAACATAACTCATAACACTGTACCACCAAAGTCCATTTAATACAGTGTTTCAATCAAAACCATAACTCGCGAATATAATATACCCAAGATCACATTAATACGGTGTTCAATCAAACATAACTCATAACACTGCACCACCCAAAAGATCACATTAATACAGTGTTTCAATCAAACATAACTTTCATAACACTGCCACCAAAGATCTACATTAATACAGTGTTTCAATCAAGCATAACTCATAACACTGTACCACCAAAGATCACATTAATACAGTGTTTCAATCAAGCATAACTCATAACACTGTACCACCAAAGATCACATTAATACAGTGTTTCAATCAAGCATAACTCATAACACTGTACCACCAAAGATCACATTAATACAGTGTTTCAATCAAGCATAACTCATAACACTGTACCACCAAAGATCACATTAATACAGTGTTTCAATCAAACATAACTCATAACACTGTACCACCAAAGATCACATTAATACAGTGTTTCAATCAAGCATAACTCATAACACTGTACAACCAAAGATCACATTAATACAGTGTTTCAATCAAACATAACTCATAACACTGTACCACCAAAGAATCACATTAAGCACCAGTGTTTCAATCAAGAAGCATAACTACGCTGCTGTACCAAAGATCACATTAATACAGTGTTTCAATCAAAGTATAACTCATAACACTGTACCACAAAAGATCACGTGTACAGTGTTTCAGTGAAACATAACTCATAACACTGCACCACCGAATCACATTAATACAATTATTTCAATCAAGCGTAACTCATAACACTGTACCACCAAAGATCCACATTAATACAATTGTTTTCAATCAAACATAACTCATAACACTGCACCACCAAAGATCACATTAATACAGTGTTTCAATCAAGCATAACTCATAACACTGTACCACCAAAGATCACATTAATACAGTGTTTCAATCAAACATAACTCATAACACTGCACCACCAAAGATCACATTAATACAGTGTTTCAATCACATAACTCATAACACTGTACCACCAAAGATCACATTAATACAGTGTTCTTTAACTCAAACATAACTCATAACACTGTACCAACAAAGTGATCACATTAATACAGTGTTTCAATCAAGCATAACTCATAACACTGTACCACCAAAGATCACATTAATACAGTGTTTCAATCATATAACTCATAACACTGCACCACCAAAGATCACATTAATACAGTGTTTCAATCAACATGAACTCATAACACTGTACCACCAAAGATCACATTAATACAGTGTTTCAATCAAACATAACTCATAACACCAAAATTACCAAAGATCACATTAATACAGTGTTTCAACTCAAACATGTAACTCATAACACTGCACCACCAAAGATCACATTAATACAGTAAGCCTCAATCAAACATAACTCATAACACTGTACCACCAAAGATCATACATTAATACAGTGTTTCAATCAAGCACAACTCATAACACCGTACCACCAAAGATCACATTAATACAGTAAGCCTAACTAAGCATAACTCATAACACTGTACCACCAAAGATCACATTAATACAGTATTTCAATCAAACATAACTCATAAACACTGTACCACCAAAGATCACATTAATACAGTGTTTCAATCAAGTATAACTCATAACACTGTACCACCAAAAGATCAAGATAATACAGTAAGTTTCAATCAAACATAACTCATAACACTAAAATTAAATTCAAAGATCACATTAATACAGTACTAATCACATAACTCATAACACTGTACCACCAAAGATCACATTAATACAGTGTTTCAATCATATAACTCATAACACTGTACCACCAAAGATCACATTAATACAGTGTTTCAATCAAGTTATAACTCATAACACTGTACCACCAAAGATCACATTAATACAGTGTTTCAATCAAGTATAACTCATAACACTAAAATTACCAAAAGATCACATTAATACAGTGTTTCAATCAAACATAACCTTCATAACACTGCACCACCAAAGATCACATTAATACAGTGTTTCAATCAAGCATAACTCATAACACTGTACCACCAAAGATCACATTAATACAGTGTTTCAATCAAACATAACTCATGTAACACCAGCCACCAAAGATCACATTAATACAGTGTTTCAACTGCTATAACTCATAACACTGTACCACCAAAGATCACATTTAATACAGTGTTTCAATCAAACATAACTCATAACACTGCACCACCAAAGATCAGTATTAATACAGTGTTTCCCAATCTCAAACATAACTCATAACACTGTACCACCAAAGATCACATTAATACAGTGCTTCAATCAAGATAACTCATAAACATTGTACCACCAGTGCATCACATTAATACAGTGTTTCAATCAAGCATAACCTGGCGTAACACTGTACCACCAAAGATCACATTAATAAGGAAAGTGTTTCAATCAAAACATAACTCATAACACTGCACCACCAAAGATCACATTAATACAGTGTTTCAATCAAACATAACTCATAACACTGTACCACCAAAAGATCACATAATACAGTAAGCTTCAATCAAGCATAACTCATAACACTGCACCTACCAAAGATCACATTAATACAGTGTTTCAATCAAACATAACTCATAACACTGTACCTCACCAAAGATCACATTAATACAGTAAGCTTCAATCAAACATAACCCCATAACACTGCACCACCAAAGATCACATTAATACAGTAAGCCAATCAAACATGGAAACTCATAACACTGTACCACCAAAGATCACATTAATACAGTGTTTCAATCAAATGATAACTCATAACACTGTACCACCAAAAGATCACATATACAGTGTTTCAATCAAGATAACTCATGCAACACTGTACCACCAAAGATCACATTAATACAGCGGGTTTCAATCAAACATAACTCATAACACTGTACCACCAAAAGACTGGCTACATTAATACAGTGTTTCAATCAAACATAACTCATAACACTGTACCACCAAAGATCACATTAATACAGTGCTCTAATCAAGATAACTCATAACACTGTACCACCAAAGATCACATATTAATACAGTGTTTCAATCAAACATGCAACTCATAACACCAAAATTACCAAAAGATCACATTAATACAGTGTTTCAACTGGCATAACTCATAACACTGTACCACCAAAGATCACATTAATACAGTAAGTCAAATCAAGCATAACTCATAACACTGCACCACCAAAGATCACATTAATACAGTGCTTCAATCAAATGATAAATCATAACACTGTACCACCAAAAGATCACATTACTACAGTGTTTCAATCAAACATAACCATAACACTGAAAATTACCAAAGATCACATTAATACAGTGTTTCAATCAAACATAACTCATAACACTGCACCACCAAAGATCACATTAATACAAAGTGTTTCAATCAAACATAATCCATAACACTGTACCAATTAAAGCACCCATACATTAATACAGTAAGTTTCAACTGGCATAACTCATAACACTGTACCACCAAAAGATCACATTAATACAGTGTAAGCTAACTGGCATAACTCATAACACTGTACCACCAAAAGATCACATTAATACAGTATTTCAATCAAACATAACCTCATAACACTGTACCACCCCAAAGATCACATTAATACAGTGCAGCCAATCGGTATAACTCATAAATACCCGAAAATTCACCAAAAGATCACATTAATACAAAGTGTTTCAATCAAACATAACCTCATAACACTGTACCACCAAAGATCACATTAATACAGTGTTTCAATCAGCATAACTCATAACACTGTACCACCAAAGATCACATTAATACAGTGTTTCAATCAAGTATAATCCCATAACACTGTACTACCAAAGATCACATTAATACAGTGTTTCAATCAAGCATAACCTGGCAACACTGTACCACCAAAGATCACATTAATAAGCAAAGCCACCGCATAACTCATAACACTGTACCACCAAAGATCACACATTAATACAGTAAGTTTCAATCAAACATAACTCATAACACCGCACCACCAAAGATCACATTAATACAGTGTTTCAATCAAGCATAACCTACAACACTGTACCACCAAAGATCACATTAATACAGTGTTTCAATCAAACATAACCCATAACACTGTACCACCAAAGATCACATTAATACAGTGTTTCAATCAAGTATAACTCCATAACACTGCACCACCAAAGATCACATTAATACAGTGTTTCAATCAAACATAACCATAACACCGTAACTACCAAAGACTACATTAATACAGTGTTTCAATCAAACATAACTCATAACACCAAAATTCACCAAAGATCACATAATACAAAGTGTTTCAATCAAGATAACTCATGTAACACTGCACCACCAAAGATCACATTAATACAGTGTTTCAACTGCTATTGAACTCATAACACTGTACCACCAAAGATCACATTAATACAGTGTTTCAATCAAACATAACTCATAACACTGCACCACCAAAGATCACATTAATACAGTGCTTCAATCAAACATAACTCTCATAACACTGTACCACCAAAGATCACATTAATACAGTGTTTCAATCAAGCATAACTCATAACACTGCACCACCAAAGATCACATTAATACAGTAAGTTTCAATCAAACATAACTCATAACACTGTACCACCAAAGATCACATTAATACAGTGTTTCAATCAAACATAACTCATAACACCAAACCACCAAAGACTCCATTAATACAGTGTTTCAATAAAACATAACCTCATAACACTGTACCACCAAAGATCACATTACAATACAGTGTTTCAATCAAACATAACTCATAACACTGTACCACCAAGATCACATTAATACAGTGTTTCAATCAAACATAACCTATGCAACACTGCACCACCAAAGATCATACATTTATACAGTGTTTCAATCAAACATAACCTGGCAACACTGTACCACCAAAGATCACATTAATACAGTGTTTCAATTCACAACTCATAACACCGTACCACTAAAGATCACATTAATACAGTAAGCTTCAATCAAATGATAACTCATAACACTGTACCACCAAAGATCACATTAATACAGTGTTTCAATCAAGCATAACTCATAACACTGTACCACTAAAGATCACATTAATACAGTGCTTCAATCAAACATAACCTCATGCAACACTGTACCACCAAAGATCATTAATACAGTGTTTCAATCAAGAGCAACTCATACACTGTACCTCACCAAAGATCACATTAATACAGTGTTTCAATCAAACATAACTCATAACACTGTACCACCAAAAGATCACATTAATACAGTGTTTCAATCAAACATAACTCATGCAACACTGTACCACCAAGATCGCTATTGGGATAATACAGTGTTTCAATCAAGCATAACTCATAACACTGTACCACCAAAAGATCACATTAATACAGTGTTTCAACTTCAAACATAACTCATAACATCAAAATTCACCAAAGATCACATTAATACAGTGTTTCAATCAAGCATAACTCATAACACTAAAATCCACCAAAGATCACATTAATACAGTAAGCTTCAATCAAACATAACCTCATGTAACACTGCACCACCAAAGATCACATTAATACAACAGTAAGAATAAAATAACAGGAGAAAAAGATTAATATTTGCTTTGGATCTCAACTTAACCTGTACATAAAATTGAGACAAAGATTAAGAAATAAATATACAAGTTATCCATGAAATATAGATCCATTTTAAAACTTAATAACCAGAGATATAGGTAGAACTATAGACACCCAGTATAGCATGAGTATTATAGATCATTGTTCATCTATATAGACATAACGGTATTGGGTAATTTTAGTGTGAATAGAAGTTTAGAGATTTTAGTGATGATAAACCAGTGTTATGTGTTGCCTGGAGTCAGAGAAGGAAGATATCACCTGAAGAATCTTTACCCCAGTTTATTTCATCTAAAGTTAAACCATCGTAATGCTAACCTAACCTAACCTAACCTAACCTAACCTGTGAAATAAGCCGGGTGTGGAGATGCTTCAGGTGATCCATTAACTACTTGTAATATTGTATTTATTATTATTCTTATGTCCGAACAGAACAAATATCCAAGGAGGGAAAAGCTGCCGAGGCGGTGCCGGGTGGAGGGGACTGCCACCAGGAGAGAACCCGTGGCTCCTGAACCTCCTCCAGAAGACTTGGGATAAAGAAAGAGGATAAAAGAGTGTTGGTGGACAAAGATAAAGTAGAGGCAAAAGAGACTAAAGGTGAGAAAAATAATGCACATAGTTTAGATAAGGAGGAAAGTCGAAAGAAGTCATTGAACAGCGTAAATTGGCCGAGGAGAAGGAAGAGAAGAACGAGGGATACATACACCGGACGCCATACAGAAGGAAGAGAAGGTAAATAAGGAAGAGGAAACGAGAATAGGAAAGAAGAGGAAGTGGACAAGAAGAAGGCAGAGTTACTTGAAAAGATGGAGGTGCAGCATAAGGAACAGCAGCAGCTCGGCTGTCTTACAGGAGTCAAACAGATCCTTCAGGAATTAAAAGTGCAAGAAGGAACAAGATCTGAAGAGGCAGGAGGAAGAGAATAGAGCTGCTGTTATTATTCCTGTTCCAAATGTTGTTCCTGTTGAGAAATCTTTTGCTGGAAATCTTGCTGCTGGAAATCCTGCTGCTGTTGGAAATCTTGCTGCTGTAAATCCTGCTGCTGTTGGAAATCTTGCTGTGAAACTGTGCTATTGGTGTAAATCCTGCTGCTGTTGGAAATCTTGCTGCTGGAAATCCTGCTGTTGGAAATCCTGCTGCTGTTGGAAATCTTGTTGCTGTAAATCCTGCTGCTGTTGGAAATCTTGTTGGTGTAAATCCTGCTGTTGGAAATCCTGCTGCTGTGGTGAATCCTGCTGCTATGAAACCAGGGACTGTTAATGCTGCACCAATTAAACTGGCTCCTGCCAAAAGCTATTGCTGGAAATTCTGGAGGTTTGGGGTAACATGCAAAATCCAGTCATGGGTCCAGCAGCCTTACTAAACACAGGTGTAGGACAGGTGGACAACTTAGTCAATTCAGCACTGCCAGCACCACAGGGTAACCAAGTCTATAACTACCAGGTGATTCAGGCAGCGGGTAATAATGGCGGTCTGCCTATTTATCCCAACACTGGTAATCAGATGGTATATCAGGTACCCCAGGCTTCAATGTAGGTGGTGCTCCTGTGGGATGAGCCGGTATATGCAGGTAACCAGCCTCAACCTGTTGTTCAAGTCAGTAATAACAAGGACCAGGTTCCTCTTGTTGCTGGAGGTGTCGGCAGGTATCGGAGCCGCCAAAGAGGAACTTGCTCCAGTCCAACAAGTACTCCAGGAAATCAACCACAAAACCAAGTTCCTGTTGGTGAAGATCCGATGAAACCCAAAGCCGAGGCTCCAATAGTTGAGCTACAGGAGAGAGTTCAAGAAACAGTGAAGGCTCAAGGTCCAGCCCTTCAGTCACAGGGAAAACCTCAGAGTCGGCATAGAGGAACCTCAAGAATGTACCCGACCCGCACGCCAAAAGGAATCTCCATTAGGTAAGTCACGGGATACAGCTAAAGAGAAGGACACAAAGAAATCAACTTCCGTTTCTGATAACAAGAATCAAGTGAATGTTGACAGATCAGGCGCCGGGTCAGCAGCTCACCCAATATAAAGGGCATGAAAGACCCCAATCAATTAATAATAATAATTCTATCATCAAAAAGAACAGTAAAATAAACTAACCAAAAGAAAATAAACCACGGGCTAACCCACTTGCGAGACGTTGATGAAAATTATTTGTTTAATCTCCCAGAAGTTGACCTTTTCAAGGAGATTAAGTCGAGGACAGCATAGATGTGGCTCTGACACTGCCACTTCCTGTGGAACAGTCGGTCGAGGAGGAAAAGGAGAAGGAACGACAGAGAGAGGGACTAATTACTATTGGGATGAAACATAATCTGGTTTTCCTTCATTCCCAAGTTCTCCTCATCTTAAAGTTGTGTAAATATAATTTTTTATTTTTGGTAATAAAGTCTTTTTTTCATTACGATACATCAACTTTGCTGAATAATATTTAAACAAAATGTTTGGTTTACTTGTAGTGGAAACGTAAGTGTTGCCTTTAACCCATATTGTTGGATACATATTTGTAACAAGGAGACCTTATACTGTACATGTAAAGCTTTGTAAGTATTGACAACAAACTATTCAGAATTTGTTTTGGCAGCCCTCACTATCTGAATGGGTAAGGGCTCCTTGAAAACCATTCAGATATCATAAAAGGTCTCAGACAAGCAGTGCATATTATATCTGTAATATAATGGAGAATAACAGAGAGACTGACTTGATATCTGTCGTCTCAGTTAGCCACTTGTGTAGTGTACTGTATGTAGTTAACTGTAGGGAGTGTAGTTAAGTTAGTGTAAATGTTATATAAGTCAACACATTTTATTGACCATCTAGTAAGGGATGGAAACTGTATCCTGTGTAAAGTAGTTAAGGGAAAGTTTACTCTGGTATAAGACTGAGATGAGATATTTTTTAAAAAATTGTCGCGGTAACGTTATGGGTTTTATCACAGGTTTGTCGGTCATGGAGGCTGCTAAGAATTTGTCTTATATATACTGTACTGCATATGCAAATTAAGGATATGAGCAAGTGTGTTTGTTTGTGCATGTGTGAGTGTATGTGTGTGTGTTCTGGTACAGTAAGTCCTCGCAGTAACGTCGGTGGTTCCGTTCCTGAAACCGTGGACGTCAACAGAAACAATGTTAACTGAATCAATTTCCCCATAAATAGATAAAATACAGGAGTTACGTTCCTGAGCCTCCTTTGCCCCATAAAATACATTACGTATACAGAACATAAATTCAATGGAATTTTTATAGAAAATTGTATATATTATATGTCCAAAAAGATAAATAAACTTAATAATTTTGTATTGTACTCACTGATGGGCGGAGGTGGAGGAGAGTGTGTGGGGTAGTGGAGACAAGATATGATAATAACCTTGTCATATGAATGTGTTGATAGATTATCAGGCAGGATGGTATTATTAAGTTGAAAGGTGATATGGGTCACTTTAACCTCATCCTCACCATGAAGAATAATAATATGGTGTTTAATCAGTCTTGGGTGTGTTGTGTCCAGCACCTACCTAGTACTAAGTCACTACCGGTATGGTATTGACGGTAGAATCGGTAGGTACGTAATCTCTTAGTGTCTCCGCTCTACGCTATAAGCTTCATTATATACACCTGTTAAATTTACTGTAGACTGAAGGATAAAATTCCATCGATATATTTTATAACGTCCCGGCGCCTACACAAGGGTAATGGGGACTAGAATTCTTTTATAATTATTTACTCGGATATTTTTTAAATTGTGGTTTGGTTTGTGTTACGGACGCGATCTATAATGGAAAGGAAACATGACTGCTATACATCTGTCTTATGACCTTCAATATAAATATCTTTTAATTTCTAATACATATGAAGTCATGATGTGAATGAAATGATGAATGAATGATTGTATGTAAATAAAACAAATCAATTAAAGGTTTTGAATGAAGGTTTCTTGTGATATATGTATAAGTACTATATACAGTATACATACATTCTTATTGACATCAAAAGTGTGTAGATTGTGTGGTTATTACTGTAACAGAATTAGGTTTTAGATGTTGAGAAATTTGTTACCTTGGCTGGCTTGAGAGATAAAGTGACAGCTGAGACAATACATAAGAGAGAGAGAGAGAGAGAGAGAGAGAGAGAGAGAGGGGGGGGGGAGAGAGAGAGAGAATAGTGCAAATAACCCGCCAATTGAAACCTTTAAAAGAAAATGACACTAACATCCACTCGTGTAATGAGACTTAAATTTCCCCAGCACCTTTGGCGTCGGTCTTTTGTCTTCCATTGAATGAGGCCACATATCAACATTATTTTTGTATAATGTCACAACCAGCGTCTCGGGATGCACCTTTGGGGAGAGGGAGAGGAGAGGATGGGAAGGAGTACTCTGTTCCGCCTATTATTTATTCAGGTATATATTGATTGATACTCAAAATCTCCCTGAAATCTGAAGGTAGGAAGTAGAATTGATATAAGATGTTCTGTCTTTATTAAATACAGTATACCTGGATGCATCTCAGGTCACTGTATAGAACAGGTGTGTGTCATTACTTATTGATCAGCTCCTTCCTTACTGCATGCTCTTTAAGTCTATTTAACGTGAACTTTACTGTAATGCTAAATGTGCTTGATGCTGTCTCTGTCACATTGTAAGGAAGGGATTAAGAACTCAAGTACAATATACCAGTAAAAAACAAAGTACAAGGGTTCTAATCTCTTTTATGTACTGTGTGTATGATTGTTGATCCAATAACCCCCTTGTGTATTGGGTCTTCTCTGTTGTGTAAAGCGCCTGGCGTCACCCACATCAAGTATAAGATGACGTCCAGTAGTGGTGGGGTTAATAATTTGGTGTGGTCTTGTGGTCTTGATAGGAGTAGAACAGATAACTTGACCTCAGATCCATAGTTGAATTTTGATGTTGCAGTATAGGAGAAACATTCATAGATGCCTTTTTCTTTTTTTCTTTTATCATACTGCCTAACCACTTGATAAATTGATGATAATTAAATTTGTAGTAAGGTTAAAATTTATAAATTCTTCCAAAGTTGTAGAGAATATGTAACAAAAGGTGTAAATATCTTCGATTATGATATTAAGATTTTCAGGGTCAATGCTGGGTTGATTGTAATGAGAGGGTATAAACAGGTACCTTAGAGCCTTGTTGAGAGCACTATGGAGAACCACTGGCAGTATCCTAAAGGTAAAGGCTAATGGCAGTCAGATTTTGTTGAGAAAGCAGGTACAGTCGGTGCCCATTTAACACACACACGCACACTCATGATGTATTCCTGAAAACCCATACGCCAAGTGAGTAAACGAAGTGCTGACTGTACAGAATGTTATTATTACCGAGCTGTATTAACCTGTTGAGTACCTGAATTAGAGGATGCGATGGCCAGTGTGATTTCATGTTGGTGTATGTTCATGTAGAGAGCTCGAGAGGTATGTAAAGAGGATAGGTGGAGATGAAGAGGTCCTGGCCCCTCTTTGGCATTTATCATGAAACACATACAGTACATGACCAAGTACAC